TGTGCAACCAATAAATAATCTTAATGACTGCTTACCTTTTCTGCTTTTCCTGTAATTTTTTCAACCTCAGGTCTCACCTTTTTAGTGGTGTTTCTATCCCACCCATGTCCCTTGCTTACAGACATTTTATAAACCACCCTCCATAGCGAGTGTTCCTCTCAAATGCAATCTCCAGGAAGTTGCACTTGACTGCACTTGTTATAAGAAGTTAGGCCCCATTAGTTGGTCCACATTCATTTGCCTTTGGCATCTGGTTCAAAGTGTGCTGGTAACTGAGGAGTATGGCTAACGGCAGCTTCTAGTTTGGTGGGACACCAGAAACTTCCCTTTCAGGCTAACTTTAAAATGTTCATGCTCTAAGTGGCACTCTGGGGTAATGAGCGCTTACCATATATAGGTGCCACCCTAGGGCAAGTCACACATTTGGTGCATGTGAATGCTGCCCAAAAGGGATGCCTGCAGTTACCAGATTTAGTAAATAAAACACAGAACAACTGGTTAAATTTGAGTATCAGAAAATCAGCAACAGATTTTCACTGTAAGTTCATCCTGTGGAATATTTAACAGGCTCAGGACCTCACGGTGGAACAGAATGAACGCTGCGTTTAGCCTTTCAGGAGTTGTCAGGTCGCACAAAACGGCCCCCAGAATTTGCTTGGGCAGGATGAGAGGATAATCTAAAACAGAACCTCTCTACAGGGTAGTCTGGTGACACATCCAAGTGGTACCACGACCAACAGTCGGTACTTAAACAATGAAATGCATACTGGTTGGTAAACACACACTGCCCTGAATCTCTCTAGTATCTATCCTGCGCCAGCCCCACATCCTGCCGTTTCCCCCAAGAGCTCCAGGGCCTTCTCACAATTCAGTAACTGAAAGATGAATGCTACAGCATGGACGGCTCTTGCGGGCATTATGCTAAATGAAGTAGGTCAGAGAAAGACAACTGCTGTATGTTCTCAGCTATATGTGGAGTCTTTAAAAAAAAATCACAGAAACAGAGAACAAAAGAAAAAAGAAACAAAACAGATGGGTGGTTGACAGAGCCCGTGGGGGATGGAGCATAAAAGAAATGGGTAAGTGCAGTCAAAGGTACAGACTTCCAGTGAAAAGGTTACTAAGTTCTGGGGATACAATGCACAGCACAGTGACTAGAGTTAATGATACTGTAGTGCATAATTAAAAGTTGTTATGAGAGTAGAGCTTTAAAGTTCTTACCACAAGAAAAAAAAAACCTGGTAACTGTGAGGTGACGGATGTTAACTAAATTTACTGTGGTGATCCTGTTGTAATATATACATACAGAAAATCATTATGTTGCACACCTTAAACTTTCACAATGTTATATGTCAATTACACCACAATAAAACTGGTGTATGTGTGTGGGGTGGGGAGACTGCACTGGAGAAGCCGAAAGAAGTGGTGTGTGTCTTCAAATAGACTTAGGAGACTATATACAAATGTTGGTCTCCCATCAGAGATGTGACCTTATTTCTCACAGTAGGACAAAGATTCACATTAAGAATATTAAAATTTATTTGTTTCCTGTAAGTAAAATGATTCCCATTCCACATGAGTATCACTGTTTGGGTTGTGTTATGTTCTTATAATAAAATCAGGAAACCTATTATTATAGGTAAAAGGGACTCTGTTTCATCTGTTCCTATTCCTCCCCATTCTGTCAAAACACATTTAAAGTGAAGCCCACAGAGGTCAGGCAAGTGCCCAGGGTGCCACGGCTAGTTGCTAGGGGAGCCAGGGGGAGAGGCGAGGGTGGGCGATCTTCAGCTCCTGGTTCAGAGCAGAGGTGGGTGACCTGCAGATCTGACCCACTACGTGTTTTTGAACGGCCCATAGCTAAAAATGACCTTTACATTTTTTAAAGAGTTTATTTATTTATTTTTAGAAAGAGGGAAAGGGGGAGAGAAAGAGAGGGAAAGAAACACTGATGAGTGGTTGCCTCTCACACCCCCCCATCCAGGGACCTAGATCACAACCCAGGCATGTGCCTCGACGGGGAATGAAATCTGCAACACTTTGGTTTGCAGGCCATCACTCAATCCACTGAGCCACACTAACCAGGGCAACCTTTACATTTTTAAATAATGGGGGGAAAGTCAAAAGATGAATAACATTTCTTGACATGTGAAAATTAGATGAAATTCAAATTTCTATGTCTATAAACTTTTGTCGGATCACAGGCCCATTCAGGTATGTATTCTCTATGGCTACTTTTGTCAGTAGAGTTGAGTGGTTTCAACACAAGACTTATATGGCCCCCAAACCCTAAAATATTCCCTCTCTGGCCCTTTACATAAATAAATAAATAAATAAATAGCCTGAATAGTAGCCTCCACGCCAGTGACCATTTTGATTTGTGGATGCCACACTCCCCCTGATTATTAACTGTCTGAGCCATCACCCCGAACACTAATGAGTGACAGCACATCCATAGGAAAAGGCCAAGGAAAGTAACTTCCTGATGGCGGCACTGAAACACAGCAGTGCTGTCAAACATCTAAGGCTGGTCAAAACATGACACGGTCATAAAAAACCTCCCTGACCTTACTGTTCAAAGTCCCCCTGGGGAGAAAGATGTCCTTGTAAGCTGGTGTGGTGATTATTAACAGGATGTAAACTTTCACTAAGTCACCAGAACCCTTCCAAATGGAAAATCTTAGAACATCAATATTTAAAACAATAAGAGTCAAATTACTAAAGGGAAAGAGATTGGAGGTGAGAAGCCTTACGGTTCAAAGTGTAAAAAAAGTAAATGTAGAGCCCTGGCTGGTGTGGTTCAGTGGGTTGAGCGCCGGCCTGCGAACCAAAGAGTCACCAGTTCGATTCCTGGTCAGGGCACATGCCCGGGTTCTGGGCCAGGTCCTCAGTGGGGGCATGCTCAAGAGGCAACCACATATTGATGTTTCTCTCCCACTCTTTCTCCTCCATCCCTTCCCCTCTGTCTAAAAATAAATAAATTTAAAAAAAAAAAACAAATGTAGAAAATAAGCTAAAGAAATTATCTTAATTTTTAAAAAGTATAATTAATAGAAGACTAAGAAACAAATGGCTATTATATATTTTATTATAGATTTATAGAACTACTTTATATGAATATATATTATTTACATGTTGTATATAATATACAGTATGTAAATATTATATTTGTTTTATTTATATACATACACATATATGCCATTGAAGGCTGGTTCAGGAGGTAGACCTTATTTACACAGTGATATGTATCAAAAGCCTAAAAATACTAGAAGAAGAAAGAGCATAGGAAAAATTACATGTGTGATAGTGCTATTTACTTCCAAATTGTGGTATACTATTCCAAGATTGAAAACAATTTCAACATCCAATAACAGAGAATAATTAAATAAATGTCGGCATATAATGTAGTGGGATACTATGCTTTCACTTAAGATACATTTAGAGACAATTTGTAACAACATGGGTAAGCAATGTAAAAGTAATTGATGAACAAGAAAAAGAAAGGATATAAAATCTGTGTTTACATGTGAAAAAATGCCTCATTGAAAATATACATAATAAAAAACACAAAAAATAAAATTTTAACAGTGTTGTTGGCTGCTGAGATTATAGGTTATTCTTTTCTTTCAATTTAAATACATAGTTCAAATTTTGTAAAAGGATTGTATATGATTTCTATAATTAAAATAAACTAAGTAAAATTAAGAAATAATTTAATTCAGAGGGGAGAAGGAACACCAGAAATACATAGTTTAGCCAATGCCTAAAAAAACACATAAACACAGAATTTTTAAAAAAAACAAAAGAAAAAGAAAGTCTTTCAAAATCCATTTCTGAACTTTCATGCTCCAGGCCTGCTGTTGCAGCAAGCGCGACTTAAAGCAACCTGACCAACAGATGTCGCTGTTCAACTTCGTACTTTGAGCACGTCTAAGGATGCACAACTTTACTTTTTCTACAGAGGGACAAAACAAAAAACCCTACAAATCTCCATATCATCTTATGGAGCATTGTAGATTTTTCATCTTTCAGTTCCATTCCAAACCTCCTTTTACAATAACTGGGATGTTGAATACTTTTCTAAAAGGACATACTGTGACTACGGTTTTATGGTTATAGAAAGTACAAGGTTCTGCTCCTTGTTGCTTGAAAAAAGTATCACCCATATGGACATCACAGACCTAACCCACACGTATCAAATATCTACTTCCAGGCCTGAAAGTAATGAATTGGAAAGTATTTAAAGAAATCAGGAACACAAGATTTTGTCAACAGGCATGAGAGTTAATAAGGGGTTGAGGGGGATGCTTCTTGGATTCCTCATGCTCGCCCCCGTGTCTGACAGGAAACTGGGGGGTGAAGATGGGCGGTGAGAATGGGGCAGCCTGGCCAATCCTATCAGGCCATCTACAATGTGGAAGTAGGTACAGCTCAGCCCGCTGCTTTGTATAGGGTAGTCAGTGTTTCTGTGTCAATGAATACAAGAATGAATGAGAAAGAAGAAGGCTGTGTTTTTAAAATGGGTCATCTTGTATTGGGCGGATTTCCTGCCAGCCTGATCGCCTGTTACTTGAGCAGCTGGAGGGAAAGAAAGGTTTAGGAATGTGCAAAGAAGACAGGCTATTTGGGTTTCACTGGAGAATCCAGAACCTATCAGTCAGCTAACATATGTCCTCACATTTTTAGAGAAATTATATTAAAAGGTGACTAGCATCAAATGAGTATTCACATCATGATGTTTAGGCAGCAAGAGTGATGTGAACTGAGGACTCTGAAAAGCTCAGATAAATTGTAAATATAGTCACTTTCTATCACACAAATTTCAGATCACCAAGATCTGTTTTCTGCATATCAGTTGGTTTTTAGACAGTTACCTCCCCCAATCACCCATAAAATGAAGTTTCGGCAGCTTTACAAACATGATTTACATTAAGTGCATATTAAATGAACCTCTGTTGACTGCAAAGAATTATAGCACAAACATAAAGCTTTCTACTTACATGGAGATCCAAGTGCAGTTCACTTCTGTTTGTCTTCTCTCTCTCCTCGTGGAGCAGAAAGGAGCAGGCTGGCCCAGCTCTCTGGCCCAATGCCCACGCTCCGCCATCCCTGATGGAAAGGTCTCTCGTGGCTGACTGCTCATTGAAGCAGTCCCGGGGAAAGCCCTCAGAGGAGATGCCTAGACAAACCCAGAGAAGACCTTCAGCAACACAGTGGCCAGGAAAACATCAAGCTAGCACATTTGGGGACTCCCTATGTGGGTCACTTTATACTACCTCCTACTTCCCTTTGTAAGTTATATTTTTAGAATTTGCTTTCCTAGTAAGTCTGTTAGCCCAACTCTGTGCTCCCTATTCTTGCTATATACTTCATTCTCATTCAGGATAGAATCAGGAAATGAGCTGGAGGGCAGAAGTCAGAAGTCTGGGTTGTCACCTGGGCCAAGGCACTAGTGTGTCTTCTGGGACACGAACTATACCATGTTCATCTTCCTTTGCGGGGAGGGAATTGTCATAAGTGGTGCCTACTGGCATTCAGTCAGTTTGCTGAATGAGTGAGGCTGCTGCGTGAGTGAACTACATGGAACTCACTTTTCTCATCTCCAGAATGAGAATGAGGGTGTTACGCTAGTTCTTATCTAAATGTTAGGATGATAATAGTCAAGTGTATGCCAAGGACTGCTCTTAGCCCTGTTCATCAATATTTTAAAAGCACCCTGTAGGCAGGTATCGTTAGTGTTCCCATTTTAGAGAAAGACACTGAATCATGAAAGAGATGGCAATTGATCAACCTGACTTTGTTGCCCAAGATCATAACATCTGTAAAGGCTGAACCTAGGCAGCTACACACTAGAGGCCACGCTCTCAGGGACTAGAATACATGGCCTCTGCCTGGCACCCCTGTGAGGACAACGTGTGTTCTATAACAGAAGGACTTCGTCGTCCAATAAGTGTGAAAAAAGAGATGTATGCTCTATCTGGGAGCCACGCTTCATGGTAGCATTACTAAAGACCTTCAGATAACCTTTAGTAAAGAAATTAAGCTCTGTATAAGAGTATTTTTTAAACCTATTTGACCACAGAATCCATTTAAAGGGGCACCTTATAAACATGTTACAAACTACTAGTGTTCCAATGGAACATATTTTGGAAAACACTAGATTAGATCACCCCGAAAGTTCCATACGGCTCTCAAGTGCCTAGTCCTCTTTTAATTCCTGGGAAGCAACCTTGTCAAAATATTACCCAACTAGGTAGAGGTTGAGGGTTTGGGCTCAGTGAATTTTGCAATACAGATCACTGTTGGATATAGGATAGGGCGATTATTACACATAATCCTTGTAACAGCGTCTCTTTGGCAGTGAGCCAAAGCCAGCGGATGACTTCTGCCATGCTGAAAGCCTGACTTAGCTGTAACTTGAGCCAAGAATAAATCAACTAACAAAGGGATCATGGGATACCATGCTTCTCCTTTATAACAGAGTAGCATTTCAGAAGAAACAATATTTAAAAACAGCCAAGTTTTGGGTTTTGCTTTCTGTTGGCTTGTTCCGCTAATCGATCTCCAAACACTTTGGAGTGAAAGGGAAGGCAGGTCACAGCATCTCCACAGTTGCCTCCTGGCAGGCTGTCCATAGAACATTTTTCTGTGGCTACTGAGAAAATGAGAGCCCAGGACCTTAGCTGTCCACTCTGCAGACATAGGGTGTCCACAATATTAAAACCAAGCTCTTCCTTCCCCTGAGCCAGATGTCTTAAAGTGAGAGTTGTTCAGTTACCTGGCCTCACCCTTTTCCGCATGCCCCTTACTACCTGCATGCTCCAGGGCTTTTGTTTGGGCCTCCGGGTTAACAAAGCACCGCACTCCCACTCAGAGAGGAGGAACTGCATTAGGCGCCTTCACTATATCTTCCTGGTGATCCCTATAGGAAGGTTGCTGGCCATGTTTTAAATAGAGGAAGAGTTTAAAGCTCAGACCCCTTTTAACTTCCATTATATGGCTCATTTCTCTCCTCGACTATTTCTGTTCACATATGGCAAGAAACAAGAAAATAGACCTTTTTAAATTTAAGATGTACTCTCACCACGCTACCTTATCTTCAGAAATATGTTAATTACTAATCCTATCTCTCATTCTAAATCACTCTACTTTTCATTTTTATTTTGGAATAGCTGCCAGCTTTGGGTAAGTTTACATTGGTTAATAAAATGATAGAAAGCATAATACATACATCACAGAGAACATAATATACAACACCTAAGATAAGACATCTATATCATCAAAGGCACATTGTCTGGTGAGCAGAAGTTCCTCATTAGGTAGAAGAAAGTAGTAAATCCCCACAGTAACTGGGATCTGGTGTCTTAGGGAAGATACAGACACACACACACCCACTCACACCCCTGCAGTGCCAGCCAACAGGGCCTGAATGCGGTGCAGAGTGCAATCCAATCCACTCCTTACGCAGAGGGGACACAACAGGAAGTTTAGGTAGAAATAATAAAAAAGTTCATTTTGGAAATAATTTTCATTTTAAAGACCCATCTCTAATACCTAGTGTTTAACCAGACAAAATCCCTATGAAGGAAACACTCAAGGTAAAAACCATGACGCATAGTAATTTTGGTGAGGATTAATTTGACGGCAAAGGACCAAGGACAGAAAAAAGCAACATTAAAATGTTATTCTCAAACATCTGACAAGGCAGGTAAGGACTTAGGACAAATTTACTACTAGAAAGAACACAACAAACATAAAATCTTTCCATGGAAGTTTTAATAATCCAACAGAAGTTTTCTGAATACTCAGAAATAAAGTACATGGCTATATTTATTTAAATAGGTAGTAGCCTATTTATTCAACTCAATAAATTTAATAAAGAGAAGGAAAACTTACCTAAAATTAGGTAAGAATATTCTATCAAAAGTCAAATGTCAGTTAATTTTCTGATACTAACAGATTTTGAGGTGTTTGATTTTCACTGAACATTTTGTAAAAAGCTGTATCTTTCCTTTTCATGTGCATATTATAAATTTGTCTTTTACTCAATGTTCATTGACTTTTTTGCTTCTCAAACACATTCCAATATGTAGCTCAATGGACCACACATATGCACGCACACAGGTTAATTCCAAGCTGACCACTATTAATAACAACACAGCACAGGTACAGTACAGGCAAGGGGACTTACCTTGGGGCCACTTGGAAACTCTGTGCTTGTCTCAACCATTCAAATGATGAGCTGCACTTCCTGATGCTAACCTACAACATCAGACTGGGGTTTTGCTGTCAATTATCAATATAATGGAAGCAGATAAAAAGGAAAGGTAATATGCCATTTACAACTGAAGGCAGTATCCATAGCTTATATCTACCTATGGTACATTGGATTATTGTTTACACTTCATTACTCCTTGTATTAGTAGTATGCACCCAAGGCCTTTTCCAGTTGTCTTCGTAGCTCTTCCCATTGGCCCATGGATGTTGGACCTGGCCTTGTGACTTGCTTTGGCCAATTGAATGTGGGCAATGTGATAGTGCGCCAAATTTGAGCCAACACCTTAAGAGGCATTGTGTGTTTTTATACCCTGCTTTGTGTTTCTGCCATCATTATTTGACAAGCATGCCCTAGGTAGTCTAAAATTAGACACACGGAGCAGACCCAAACATAGTCCTGCTGCCTGGAGCCAACCTCAGGTGAACCCTGGTCAAATCACGTGAACCTTAGCCAATTCCTAAGGCAATGAATGAGAACAATGAATATTTGCTGTGAGCCATTGAGATCTGGGGTTCATTGTTGAAATAACTGCGTAATACATCCTCTATCACCTGTCCCCACCGAAAGCACTATACCTATTAAAAACTTTAAACCATTTCATCTGAGCAAGCTTAAAGACTACAATAATCTTATTTTGTAATCTGTACTAAAAACAGTTATTCAATGTATCAGATTTTGAAAAAAATCAAGTGAAAACTCATAGCATAGCCATTTCTTCTTCAAAACAAGATCCACATACAAACTGCATTTCATTAGAAAAAAATAAACTTATTTACCAAGGATTGCCTTTAATTATCTAAACAATATATCAAATTATCTAAATAATTTATCAGAGACAAAATGGATTTATATACATTTCAACACAAAAGTGCCTTTTAGCCTTTCCCTTAATTTTCCCACCATACTGAGCCCTCATTTGGCAGCAGTCATGAGGTGCTTATGCCTCCAAACGGAAGGGGGAAAAAGCCGGAAACTCTTATGAGTTTTGTTCCTATGCTGTAGTTCCCATGGCCATCCATCACAGTGGACTTAAAATAAATGCAGGAGATGAAGTTTCCCCAACCATGAAAATCAGAACCGATACGTAAAGGTAAGCAGGTTGTCTTCTGTTATGTTATTCAAACATGTACTTACAGGCAAGATAGACAGCAAGTAGATGTGGAGCAAATGGCAAGTGACATTGTTAAGTACTTGTACGGAGGGTGTGCAATTATTCATGGCTATGTCTAGAAAGGAAGATCTTTGGCAAAACTATCATCTCTTGGCTGGTTTCTGTCAATTAGGGATCAACACTATCTAGTTCTACTGCCCTCATTTTCATTTCTAGTGATGTTAAAGGGTCCAATATCAGCTAAGTAGATATAATTCTGAAAAAGCCTCTAATCTGTCCATCCTAACCTCTAACTTTCCTTGTTAGAAGTATGTGGAAAGAGAAATTAAGAGCAAGGACAGATAGGCATGAAGAGGCAGGGGAAGGAGGTCAGTGGACCAGGAAGTAAGAAAGGCGGGGGAGTAAGCTAGGTCAGTTTCAGAACCTATGTGGAAAGCATCCATATCCACTAACAAATGTAATGTTGATATTTTAAATTCAAGTAAAATAAAATAAATATTAGGGCAGGAAGGAATTTTGTATATCTCTCCTGTTCATTTTATAGCTGAGGGAACTGAAATCCAGGAAGATTGTGATATTTCCAACAAACCCAGCTGGTGGCAAAGGCAGAACTAAAGTCCAGGTTTCAGGGAAATCTCGCATGCGATTTAGAGAACATTATTGCCAATCCACAGATGGGAATATTGGGATCTGGGAAAGAAGCCGATGTGGATGTTTTAACGGGGGGGCTCAATTCCTCACCGTGACCTTTGCTAATTGTTTGATCTTGGTGGAATTACTAAACTTCCCT